TATATATAAATGACACATACATGGGGACCGACTAAAAAAGGTGTTTAAAAATATATTTACAGGGCCAGTGCTGGCTCCGGTAGAACCCTGTTGATCCACCTCCCAAAAAGGCTTAATGTAGAACCCCCGTTATAGTTGCTAATTACTTTCCCCCAAAAAATAATTGAATTTGAAACTGAACTTAATAATTCATAATGCGTTACCAGAGAAAGTAATTATTGCGTTATTTGTTTGAAAAAAAACATTGAATTTTTTGCTAGGGGTTTTAGATGGGTACTTTATTCAGTATATTTATTTTACTTTAAACTACAGGGTGTCCACAAAGTCTCTTTACCATTTCAAATATGTATTAAAAATGCAATTGATTAGATATTTTACCCAGATTTGTTCTATTGTATTCAGCGTTTATTAAAGGGTTTTTTTTTACCTCTTTTAATACACTTCTACATGGGTACCATTAGTTGCACGAAGCACATCAAGACAGTACTCGATTTCTTGCCGTGTTTGCTGTAGCATAGCCTCATCATTTGTGGCAATGGCATCAGTCGTCCTTTGCTTTAGGTCAGTAATGTCCCTTATCTTTGTTCGATACGCGATATCTTTAACATAGCCCCAGAGAAAGAAGTCCAGGGGAGTGATATCTGGTGAACATGGCGGCCAAGGAATTGGTCCATCCCTCCCAATACACCGATCTGGAAATGTTTGATTGAAGAACCCACGAACATGCAGCCCCCAATGTGGTGGTGCACCATCTTGCTGAAAAATGATGGTTGGTTGAAGGTCATTCAGTTGTGGTGCCACATATTCAGTTAAAAGGTCAAGGTAAACATTTGCAGAAATTGATGTCTCGTTGAAGAAAAATGTACTAATTATTCGATTGCGCATGATCCCACACCACAAATGCAATGCGATAAAAAACTTTCATAAACACTGAATACAATAGAACAAATCTGAATAAAATATCTAATCAATTGCATTTTTAATACATTTTTGAAATGCTAAAGAGACTTTATGGACACCCTGTATAACCTGTAGACATACTATAGCCACCCCAAATAAAGTCTTTTCTTCACTACGGTTGTACTACTAAAAGTTTTAACAGTAGGTGCTTTAAATTCAATGTCATAGTGTAAAAAAAATAAATAAATGGTCACAGCTTCCAGACATTGGTAACATTGGAAACACGCAGCCAGAAATGCTCAGTTTACATTCACTCGGATCGCAATATTAGGCTTGTATGACTATATTTCCCATGGTTCTTAGACATGGAGACAAGAAGTAGTTCTCGTTCCAGCCTGACGCAAGCATGGACACATTCTAGCGACTAGAAGTGGATGAGAATGCAAACATAATTCCAAGGAATTTGAATTTCAGATGACCAACTGAAAGCCAACATCCATCCACACATAAGGCACATTAATTTTTGGGAAAGTTGAAGGATTTTGAGTGCACCGTAGTGTCCGAAAATACAGTAGAATACCCGTTACGAAAATAAATAAATAAATAAATAAAAGTACCGTATTTTTCGCACTATAAGGTGCACCTAAAAGCGTTCAATTTTCTCAAAAGCCAACAGTGCGCCCTATAATCTGCCGAATATAAAGAGACTGGAACTCGCTTTACATTCCCCATTGAGCTGTTTCCCTGTTAGTGTTCCTATACCATCTAGTGGTGATTATTAGCAGGAACCAATTGTAACCTAAGAGGGTTCTGCCCGAAACTAATTGACATATGCATTCGCCAACACACACTCAAACAGACAATTACTTTGTGAGCTCTGCGCAGCCATTATGAAACGAAAATAATACCAAAAGCAAAGTTAACTACTGACTCAATGAAGGAAGAAGGAGACAAGCAAGACTTCTGAGGATATTTAGCCCCTTGTGGATGTGAGCCCACGAGGTTTGTGTGCCTTTTTGTTGAATCAATTGTCTTTATAACCTTTGTCTTTCATTTATTGTTTTGTAATGCCATTTGTATTTATATGTTTCATGTCCATGTTTGTGACCAGTTCTAATGGCTTTGTTACAGCTGCAGCAGTTTTGAAGGGTCTGTATAAATAAAGCTGTATTATATTGTATTGTATTATATTCCAGTAGCATAGCACCATCCAGTGGATCCATAGCGCAACCGCAGCCACATTGTAGCTTCTATCTGCCTTATAATGCAGTGCGCTCTATACTATATATGAGAGCAGTTGTAAAATAGGCCATGAATTGAAGGTGCGCCTTATAATCCAAAGCGCTTTATAGTGGAGATAAATATATTATATAATACTTATAATATTGCTGCTCCCATCATTGTATGTGAGGCACACACAAATATGCAGTTGTAAAATGGTGACTATTACTGGGTCTGCAGTTGTGAAAATCAATCGCGTGTCCTGTGTATCTCCTCCTCAGGGTGTCAGAGGTTCAAAGCTCCAGTCTTCAATGTGTGACAGGTAGCAGCAACAAGACTGGAAATCATCAGGTCACTTTACATTATGGCCGCAGCCTACGCCACCTTCACGGCTCATCTTACTACTACACTCACAACCCCAATATCACCCACTCCAAGCCAGCTAAGAGCTTCCTGAGGTAACTCTAAAAATAGGTCATTCATCGCTCCTCTTTAACTGTTTCCCCTGATAAGCTGCTCATTTCTGTCATTTGAAGAGATGGGAATTTTACATTATCGTTCTCCTGTTTAGTGGTGGTCGACTGATCTATGTGTGGGGCCACAACCTGGACGTAGTGCAAGAACCCCAGATGGTTGTGACTGTGTCACCCTACGATTCCATCCAGAAAAATAGGAGTAGCGGAAGGAAAAAGCGCAGAAGCAGTTCTACCAAAATGGTTCCTGGCCCAGTTTGTCCTGGAGATCTGCTGTGCTCTGTCAAACAGGTGTGTGTGTGTGTGTGTGTGTGTGTGTGTGTGTGTGTGTGTGTGTGTGTGTGCGTGTGCGTGTGTGTATAGACACATGCATGCGCCTTTGCGAGCAAAATGTGGCAGTAATTAAATTTTATTATTATTTTTTTTTCATTTTATCAGTATGCAGAACATTGTGAGGTAAATTCCTCTTCCCTGATCCTGTGCCGATCCCCTATGGTGGACTCGTCGGTTTGGGGGTCTAAGGTCACTGTGGAGTTTCTTCTCGACAACCTGCGCTTTGACGTCAACACTGTGAACCCACAAGCCTTCATCTATGAGCCCAACCCTGTCCTGCACCCGCTAAATCAGCAGGACCCTCTGAAGGCATATCGCTACAATCCTGGCAGCTTCATCCAGCTCGAGGTCAGATAACTTGAAGTTAAATATAAAGAGATACTGTCGCTATTTATTCATAGTAAGCTATTTGTGACAATACATAGTATGCCAGGTACCTTACTGCTGATAGCTGTTTGCTTTAGCTGAAGTCAGACGTCAAACTGGTACAACTTTGATGCATTTTTTTTTCCAATTGCTTTGCACGTGACCAAATTCACACATAATCAAGTTTTGCTCATTAAAAATTTGACAGACAAGTTGTTCGGGATGCAAATCATTCTTAAAATCTTGCGATATGATATCTTCTCAGTATTAAGGCCACGGTATGGTATTATTGTAAAACTATTGTAAAACTAACCAGTGCTTCAGCGGAAAATGCCATAATGTGAAAAATTAAATGTCAGAAATGTTAACCTGGAAAAAGAGGTTAACACTACGATGAAAATGTCAAACACACGGGTCAGTTGCGAGACTAAATAAACATTATGGAGCAAAGTATTTTGTCAACAATTGCAATGAGTATCTCTTCCCATCAAACATGAAAATCAGTACATGAACATGTCTAACAAATGATTTCAAAATATGTGCATCATGCAAAGTCTTTCATAAACCTAAAAACCAGAATAAACTTGAGGTTGTCAGAACATCTGCGACATGAAGCAAACTATTCGCTAAATCATCATTCTTATTCTGTATATGGAACTATCAAAACAGCATATGAAAAAAAATCTAATTAAAAAAATGTTTTGGCCATTTAAAATTTCCAAAATATTCCCAAACTAGGACCTTCTCCGCTCTCTTATCAACACTTTACTATGAGTTACTCAAGGGGCCGTTTTAAACAAAATATTAATTAATGTTTTCAAGCATGAAAAAGCTGAAAGCTTTGATTCTCACAACTGCAGAACCAGTAATAGTCACCATTTTACAACTGCATATTTGCGTGTGCCTCACATACAGTGATGGGAGCAACAATATTATAGTATTATATTATAAGTACTGTATTATCTGCACTATAAAGCGCTTTGGATTATAAGGCGCACCTTCAATTCATGCCCTATTTTAAAACTATTTTCATATATAGGGCGCACTGCATTATAAGGCGGACAGAAGCTACAATGTAGCTGCGGTTGCGCTATGGATCCACTGTGTGTGTGTGTGTGTGTGTGTGTGTGTGTGTGTGTGTGTGTGTGTGTGTGTGTGTGTGTGTGTGTGTGTGTATACGCATGCACACACACACAAACACACACACACACACGTTATGTTTCTTGGCCGTTAATTTGTGTTTATTAAATTGATCTGTGGCTGTGTCCAGATTCACAGGCTGCATCCTGCAGAGGCCGCATTTTTGGCAGCATAGCTGGCAGTGTCGATGTGCAGTTGTGTGTGTGGTGTAGTTTGTGTCGACCCCTATAGCTATTTGTACTGCTATCTTTCGTGTTTAGCGCACCGTGTCCGGGATCTTTTCCCTTGCTATTAGAATGGGCTGATGAAGCCTTGTGAAGCGTTTGAGGCCTTTGCCATATGGATTTGGAAAAAAAAACAAGTCTAAGCCTTTTAAGATAGACCACACTAATGACATCTGGTGGTCAGCTAGAGTCATAGCATCTACAATCCTGATTGTAGATGCCATGACTCTAGTGATTCACCAAAATTTATTTCCATGCCAACCTAACACAAATACATTCAGTCTTACACTTGCGTCTCTTGCACTGCTTCAAAATAAAAGGAGCACCTAAACGATGTTTTAGTTTGACTTCATAAAGGCTCTGAGGGCTGGTCAGAGACTACGAATGGGTTGCAGCCCGCAGGCCCTACTTTGCACTGTTGCACAGGGGTGCTGTATGTTCATCCATGAGGTCGCAAATTCAAAAAAAAAAAAAAAAATAGTACCAAGCCACAGGCACTCATTCTTTTTGATTTGACTTTTTATTAGGTCTCCCATAGGAGAAACTTGTCTCGGAGGACAGTCCCTCTGTGCTGCTACATACATTGAGCAAAAAACATACACATACACAGCACAACATAATTAGGACAATTACATACAAGACAAGACAAGACAGTATACACTCTACACACATTGAACACTACATTACAGTCGTATGCACCCCCTCACCCCCACCACACATGTCCTTCCGCTTGTCTGTCTGCCTCCCTCTAATTGTTTATTGATTAAAATGATAGCCTGCAGTACAAATGAGTTTTTATACCGGTTTAATTTGCAGAGAAGAGGCCTATACCTCTTTCCTGAGTTTAGGAACTCAAATTGGGAGTGTAGCACATGAGAAGGATTGTTTAAAATGTTGTTTGCCTGTTGTTCTCATTTGAGAACCACACCAAAATTATGTGCACTCCTAAAAAAAGTATAATTAATTTAAATCATGGGTGGAGCGGGGGGGGGGGGCATTATATTTGGTCATCATATTTATGATGTCTCCTCGACTTTCACCACGCAAGGTGACAAAAATCTCAAGTAAAACACAGGCTGCATTGCTTATGTTAAACTAAACTACTGATGCGTTTGAAATTACATCGGACAAACTGGGCCATTGGAATTTGTACATTTGGATACGAATTCTCGTCACCCTACTGCCTGGTATCGGATCCCCAACTCACCAGAGCAGATGAATCTGACAAGGTCGACATAGGATTCATGGTATCTGCTACACACATAAACACTATCGTTGCACATTTTGCTGTATGTTTGTAAGACCGGGAATCGCTGGGATTACGCAATTTTGGGGGGTATGGTGTTACATGCTCTTAATTCTGATTCTCTGTGGCACTTGAATACTGTTGCCGTGGGTGCGCGTCACCTCACACTGTAAAAAATTTGGTTTTTGCTCAAGACAAAAGAGAGAACAATTTTTTGGAGATTTTTTTTTTCTCCTTAACAAGATTCATCTAATTAGCATGTAGAATGTATTCAACACTGGCTGAATTGAAACATACTAAAAAATATAAAATAGATACAACTTTTTTTTTTTTTTTTAAGACAATGCCCTCTTTTTTTTTACAGTGTGGGGTTTTCGGCAATAGTGAAGTGCTATTTTTTATTTACATAATACAATATATAATAATTTATATAAATGTGTTGTTTATATTTGAGTTCATACACAAATGTAAGTAAGTTTTGATGGGTGATTGGCATTCACGACAAATTACGATTTCCTCATGGATTACGAATGTTGATCAGGTCACCATTTTTTCAAGTTATTGTTGAGCCATTATTTTAAATCAGAATCCGACAGTGGCTTCTTAGTCTCTCCCTCTCTCTCTCTCTCTCTCTCTCTCAAAATTATTTTTATATTTTTTAAGCTTGACCCACAAGAACCCCACCCCCAAGCACAAAAAGCCCATTTGCGGCCCTGATTACAATCAATGTTGTTTTTCTTAGGGAGAAAATCTCGACCTCGCCATCAGCAAGGAAGAGGTGGTTGTGTTAATCGGGGAAGGCGTGTGTGCTGTCAAGACACTTACTCGAAACCATCTGTATTGTGAACCGCCACCTCATCAGCCTGCATCCGGAACTAATGGCAAGAAACGTGAGGGTTCGGACAACCTGCCCGAATTCACCGTGAGTCCTCCATAAATCTTTTGATCATACTTCAAATTCTTTTGAAAATCACAGCTCCTGTCAAGCAACATTTCATGTAATTTGCCTCGTATGGTGTAATTAATGTTTTACGTTTGCCAGGTCCATATAGGAAATTTAAACTTCTCCCTGGGTAAAGTTCAGTATGATGATCTCAGCCTGGCCACCTTTCCCCTGGAAGCTCAGATTGGAGTCGGAGTCGGAGCATCCATTGTGGCACTCATTGTCCTTATCATCGTACTTGTTTACAGGTTTGTCGTTGAATTGGTAGAAGGCAGCTGTAACATATGGAGCACTGTACAAACAAGAGAGCTTGAGTCCCCGTTTTTATGACTGACTTGTGACTTCACCTGACAAAAACTTGCATTTCGGAGTTTTAGAAATCAGACTTGACTTCACTTGAGACATGACAGACTTGAATGCTCAGGGGTTGACAATGCGTCCAATCTGCTCGCAAACTCTCCCATTTTTTTCAATCTGTGCTGGTTAAAAATTGTATCCAGGGAAGGCACTGCAAGCTTTGTGGCTGTCTGGCAGACTTCACACCAAAGACGGAACGCGCGTCAGGTTAAAACATTCCTGTAGAAATTAAATAAATAAATGCCTAACTCTGGATGTGGACTTTGACAGCAAGGGTAAAAAAGTTGCGTCCACAAGCCGCAAATTATACTCTAATTAAACTCGAAAATGATTCTGAATTGAAGCGCATTATCTTTCGTTATACTTACAGGTTAAATAAATTGGCCAATAAAATCCCTCATTGGAACTTATTGGTCTCTCATGCCGAAGACTAGATAAAACTGCAATAATGCAGTAACTTGACCTATCATGGGACTTGACTTGTGCGATAAACTGTGACTAGACTTGCACAAGATAAAGTCATCCAGGACTTTCTTGAGACTTGAAGGTGGAGACTTGATACTTGAGGCACAGGTGTGACTTTTTTATCATTGGTACATACTGTAGCATGCAGCAATATCTAAGAGGAATGTCATTCAGTTTCCCAAATGTAAGCAACACAATGATTTTCTTTCACATTTCAGTGATTTTCTATATTTACAGGTTATGATTTAAAGTGTTATTTAAAAATCATTTCTGCTAAACTTTTGCAATTGTATTGCCATCTAATCATCATGCAATCTTAAGTCATGATGCCAGGCCAGGCAAATCTCCAGATTTGTTTTGATTGAGCTTTAACCCTGACCCCAACTTGTTCCATATGCTGAAGTGAACCATCTCGAGTCAACTTGACGAGAGTGCTATAATTAGATGGAAACCTGCATTGTCCTCTTGTCGTCTTTCTCTGTTTGTCAGGAGAAAGAGCAAGCAGGCTTTAAGAGACTACAAAAAGGTTCAGATTCAACTTGAAAACCTTGAAACCAGTGTGAGGGACCGTTGCAAGAAGGAGTTCACAGGTAAGGAAGAGAATGGTGACTACTGTATTGTGTTTTGCACTGGGAAACGTACAGCGTTGCCTCGTGTAAAACATCATTCACACCACTGCTAAAAAGCAGATTGATTTATTTTTTGCTGCAACCGCTGATGCACTTTTCAGCTGTGTATTGAACAGCAAGTACAGTAAAACACCTAAACATAATGAGCACACGAATGCATTTGAAATCTGTTTAAAAAGTTATTTCAATTGAGTTAAATGTGTCAAAGGCGTGTGAAAGGTATAAAACTATTGAAGAAATAGTATCCCTGTCGCAGATACAGTACCGTATTTTCCGCACTATAAGGCGCACCTAAAAGCATTAAATTTTCTCAAAACCCAACAGGGCGCCCTATAATCTGATGCGCCTTATATATGGATCATTGTTCTGATCGTATTGCATTCCTTTTAGCGTAGCTTCAGCTACTGGATGCATAACGCAACCGCAGCCACGATTGTAGCTTCCATTCTATGTGCCTTATAATACGGTACACACATTATATGAAAAGAGTTTTAAAATAGGCCATTCATTGAAGGTTCGCCTTATCCTCCAAAACGCCTTATAGTGTGGAAAATACGGTATTCATTTATAACGGGTGAGCCTGGAAGGTGTTCCACATGATGTTCAGCGGTTCATTATAGTGTTGTAGTGAAGACCACACCAACTGAGAGCAAGATATTATCGAGACAGGAGAGCATCGAGTCCGAGACAAGACCAACACAGTTTGTGGGTCAAGACCGAGACAATTGTATTGTTTTTGAACATATATATATAGACACAAGAGACAAGAAAAAAAAAGAACTAAATGACTGATAGCTTTTTTTTTTCATTACGGTGTCAGCAGAAACAAATTCTGTAGGCGTCGTAGGCTGAGAACGAGTAGAAATGCCTTTCATTGAGAGACCAAAACTCAATTATACAATTTCGTGATTTAATTTTTGGTCCATCATCTCTGCCCACTGTACATATTGTAGATGAAATCTGCCGATGAAATATGATCTGACCTTTCACTCCTGCCCGCTTATTCTGACCCAGACTTGATGACAGAGATGATGGATATGTCAAGTGACCTCGTTGGCTCTGGCATCCCATTCCTTGATTACCGGATGTACGCCGAACGCATTTTCTTCCCTGGCCACCGGGAGTCACCACTGAGGCGAGACCTGGACGTTCAGGAGTGTCGCAGACAGACAGTGGAGCAGGGTCTGGTCCAACTATCTAACCTCCTCAACAGTAAACTCTTCCTGACCAAGGTACTGGAAGCCACATTTCTAGTTGTACATTGAGCAAACTTTGTTTCAGTAAGTGTTGAAATAACCTTTCTCCCAAAAGTTCATTCATACCCTGGAAAGCCAGCGGACTTTCTCTCCCCGAGACCGTGCCTATGTTGCCTCTTTACTTACGGTAGCGCTGCACGGCAAACTGGAATACTTCACTGATATCCTGAAAACCCTCTTGAACGACCTTGTGGAGCAGTACGTGGCCAAGAACCCCAAACTGATGCTGCGGAGGTAAGGGAAGTGAGAAGGAGGTTGTCAATTCAAGTCGTCATTCACATATGCGTTTCAAACTTTATTTTATCTTCTACAGAACTGAGACAGTGGTGGAGAAGCTGCTGACCAACTGGATGTCCATCTGTCTCTATACTTTCCTCAGAGTCAGTCAAAGTCTTGATTTTTTAACTTAGGACGCAGAGTAGTAAGCAAATTTTGTAGCGCCAAAACTGAGCGATGAAAAGCAATTAATACATGGTCAAAAATCTTCATTTCTGAAATGATTGTGACTGTGCACACACACATTGCCACAAGGTCATTTGAGTGAACAAAAACAAACAAAATCACAAAACTAACACTAACAAAGAACATTACTAATAAAACAAAATGAAAATAAAATTGTACAAAAAAACAAACAAAACTACATAAAAAAAACTACTACAGCGAAAATGTAATTCGTTTTCATCAATTAATATAATAAATGAGCTTTCAGGATTCATTTTAGATTTATTTTTAGTTCTGTATTGCTGTATAGCCGTACAGAAGAGGGAACGTCAATAAGTTGTTTGAGAGTTGTACTTTATTATACAATGCTTAGTCACTGAAAAAAAAACATTTAAAACTTATGACCACCATATTTTCCATACTAAAAAGTGCACTGGATTATGAGGAGCACCTTCAATGAATGGCCTATTTTGTCATTTTTTTCATATATTGGAAGCACCGCATTATAAGATGCTCAAGGAAATGCCAACAGAACACGACACTACACTACACCCTGATTTATATAGTGATGATCAGATGTCAGTAAAATTATTTAATAAAGCAGCGACACAGTTCACTTAACCAACAGCAAGTTATAACATTGACTCGTTCATGTTGAACTCTCTTGCCGCTGCTCTATTTCCGTGTTCAACTGTGAAACTGATTGCCTTAAGTTTGAACTCTGCATTGTAAGCATGTCTCTAGTAAGGAGCCATTTTGGGGTTGACATTTGACCGTAATGACCATACACAAGGCGCATTGGATTTTAAGGCACGTGGTGAGCTTTTAAGAAAATGGAAGGCTTTTAGGTGCACCTTTTAGTGTGGAAAATACGGTAAACTAAAACAAAAGCATTTCCAAAAAAATAAAATTAACAAACCTGCTTTAGAAGTGAATTAAAGGTAACTGAGTTTCTAAAAGGAAAGTCAAAGCCAAATAAAATACAACTGGAATGAAAAATCCAAAAGTATTTGTACTTTGGCTCATAGTATGTTGCCATACAGAATTAAGCTGTCATTGTTTTGCACAGTACTAAAAATATAAAAAAAACAACAACAAAAAACCCTCCTGTACCTGTGTTCTTTTCCAGCCAATGATTGTTAAATGACAGAATGTTAGTAACAACCAATTACCTCCACGAAGCAAAGCAAGGGGGACGATAACGTTACACTAGTATTGTTGTTTGGCCTTGTGGGAAGTTTGCGCTTTACTCATAAACATTTTTGAACAAGACATCCAATGATGTGTCTTTGTGTTTACAGGACTCTGCAGGGGAGTGTCTTTACATGCTTTTCAAGGCTATAAAGCACCAGGTGGACAAAGGACCGGTTGATGCTGTCACGGGCAAAGCCAAATACACCCTCAATGACAACCGCCTGTTACGAGAAGACGTGGAGTACAAGACCTTGGTGAGCAGGAACCGTACGATTTCATGTTTCTTTTTAAGATGACCTCAATGGGCATGCCTGTCGTAATGAGATGCATTTCGACCTTTTTCTCTTCTTTTTTTCTGTTTTTGCAGACACTTAATGTGCTGGTCCAGGGTGGTGCAGTGAATGAGTGCCAGCCACTACCTTCCAAAGTGTTGGACTGTGACACCATCACGCAGGTGAAAGAGAAGCTACTGGAACAGGTGTACAAAGGCACCTCTTTCTCTTACCGACCACATACAGACTCATTGGACCTGGGTGAGAATACACTGCTTTATTCGTGCGTACTCTGCATTCTGAATGTGTTCCAAAATGTACAGCGGATTACTATTAAGTTTGTTCCCTATCATATTTACCTTTCAGCCTTCAGAGATGCTCACAAATTCTTTGTGGGATGCATTTTGAGTTGTCCTCACGTGTTGTAGCACGTGAGGTGTGACATACTCAATGATTGGTCATTTGGTGTCTCAGACGCTTCATGACAAGGAAAATCTGGCATGTCAGAATTTATGTTCGTCTTGTCGCATATTGTGCCATGCCCTGTGTCGTTCTGCCATTGGCATTGACCAATTGTGAAACGTCCATCACTGCCAGAGCAGCGCACTGTAGCTCCCTTTCCTCCCGAGATGTCTCGTAGGACACAAGTGTGGGTCTGTGCTGGTGTTATGGTTCAGTTGGCTTCCAGATTAATTGGCTACCGTATCCAGCTGTGGCCGTTGCAGCAGTGTTAGTCAGTAACCTTTTTATTCCTGTGTGCAGATTTTCAACCAAACGTGAAACACAGCAGGCCCTTTGCTACTCAGCTGCAAAAAAATTGTAAACACTGTAATAATATTTAACAACAAAAAAATGGTTGGAGCAGTACTTAAAAACCGTGACACAAAGTGGAGTGATGGCTTCAAGACAGCCGTTTTAACCAATCCACCATGAGTGAAAGCGAACTGCTAAATGTGCGTGCCATTACCAGCTAGTTTGAAATACAGCTACACTACTCACAAAAAGTTTGGGATATTTGGCTTTTGGGTGAAAATTCAGGACAATCCTAAAATGGATTCAAACCTTTACAGGTGAACTTAATGTGACCCAAATGTGTCCCAAATCCTACCTGCAACATTTAGTTTTGACCACCAGGGAGAATATCACTATTTTGTTTTTTTTGTTAATCTCCAAATAATTACAAAATAAAAATAAAATAGAACATCAGGTCCACAAGATAGTGCTTAGGTTAACATATCAAAAACAGCGAGAACACTTTTGTGGGCAATACAAGTACTGAACACTGAACTTGCTTCAGACAATAAAAAATAAATAAAACAGATCCTTAAATCACAGTGCTGTAAGTTAGCACTTCAGAAATAACACTGTTCATTAGTGATGGGCCCTGAAACACCGATGCGTCGATGCACATGCCGAGCTCACAGAGCAATCCCTGCGTCAGTGCGTGTACTGCTTCAAGACGATCACATGACCAATACATGAACTGCGTCAACTCAATCCAGGGGGCATTGACGCCGCAAAAGCCCACCAAACTGTGTTTATAAGGAAGTGCGTCGAGCGACATGATACCGCCTGCCGAAACAAGGCAGACCTCACCCTCGCTCGCTTGTCGTAGTACATGCACATATATTATGGAGTAGCTCCCGGGGAAACGCAAATTGTCCGCCGTGTGGGACCATTTTGATCTCCTTTTGGAGAGTAAGGTATTTATTCAAATCTCCTTGTCTCACCAAGTGCCTCTCAGATTATTGACATGTCTTGTTCCATTCTAATTCAAATCCATTTCAAGGTAACTCTTAGTTTACATTCACATATTTTATTGCAGGTGAAATGTCGACTTTGCCATACAGAAATATATACCATCAAAAGCACCTCTGCAACTACATCTGGCATGTTACTCATCATTATTAGTTTGTTTTTTGGAAACTGTTCTAAATGCCAATTTTGTTAGGTTTAGTTTTTTTAGATGACCTCTGGCAACATTTGGATGATGAGGTAGGGAGAATGGGAAGAAGTCCAACAGCAGATGCTATATCTGAGGTCTAGCGATACATGGCAGAGGGGAATATTGCACGCAGTCAAGACCCGCTGTTATATTGGAGGAACCAACACACTGCTTTTCCAAACCTCTCCCACCTCGCAAAGGAGTTCCTCTGTACACTGGCATCATCAGTGCCATGTCAGATTGTGTTCTCCACAGTAGGGGGAATAGCATGCAAGAAACGCAACAGACTCAAATTCATTTTTTCTGAATAAAGATTTTTGAAGACAAAGCTCACAAGCATCCTCATTCACATAATTTTCACATTGTTCAAACATAATGAATAATACAATATGAATGCATCGATGTCAATGATATTGGATACACTTCGTCATCAAATCACTCAATTCAGTCTGTCAAGTGGGTTGCCTGCAGGGATTTTGAAAGTCCAGCAGGTGTCAGTGGTCAGCGACACAGTATCAACACAATGTGTCATTGTGTTAACACGCTTCATGGCGCCTCATGGACCCATCACTACTGTTCATCATTACAAAATAAAGTGCTGAGATAAACATCAACCACTTCTCATAGGCCACAGAGGACACAGCAGCTATGCTGACTTCATCCCTCGTACACGGGGTGTTCTCTTCGAGTTTAGTTTGGTGAAGAGCTTTGCTATGGCTAGCTAAATTGCTAAGGCTTTCGGTGCTAACGTTAGCTGTGGATGCACTCGCGATTGGGTGCTTTGCATTAATGTGGGTAGCTAAACTTGGGCTGCTTCAGTGGTCAGCAAACTCCTTACAAATTAGTCACAACACTCTACTTTTATCAATAGTGTTGTCAGGGCATTTTTGAAAAGTAAATTTTCGATTCATTGTGCTGAGAACTCTCACATGCTCCTCCATTTTCACCTCCCCTCTCCTCACCGCTCCTTACTTAGCCCGCCCAACTTCCTAGGATTTTTACTTGTTCATCTTCAATTGTGTGGTTTGTTTATTTTAAGTGTGCGTATACTGCACTTTTGTTATCATTGGTTTTCCATTTGTGTTGATAGTCTTTTCTTGAGTGTTTGTTTGGTTTCTCCGATGTAATGTTCCTTGCACTCACTTTCTTGGCAACGGATGGAATAAATCAGATTGCATTTTTGGGTGTTGGGAACCCGGTGTACTAGTACACCCCAAAGACCGGGAAAAAATCCTAGGAACAGAAAAGAGATGGTTTGAAAGGGGAGTAAAGGAAGCGATTTTTGTTAAAAAATTTTCACCCTCTCTGAACCGTGAAGGAGGTATCAGATTTAACCTGTCTCCTATTTACAATAACTTGTTGACCAGTAAGGGACATAGACATGCTGATCAGGCTAACTGAAAGTAGCTATTCAGCCTTAGCCCAAACAATAGGCCTAATCAAGACCCAATGAACGGTCACAAGTTATTAAATAGGAGACAGGTCTCCTATTTACAATAACTTGTTGACCAGTAAGGGACATAGACAT